GTAACTTAACTTAGTTAAAAAAAAAAGTTAACTTAAAAAAAATTAACTCAATCCTGTTAGGAGGTAGTTCAAAATTAAGAAAGGTAAATAGATACACAATTTTCTTTCACACAATAATCAAGTATTTCTTTCCTAGATATTAGATCTACAAATCTTGAAATCTATCACATTTACATAAGAAATAATGACCTTGTATTTTTCTTTCTCTTCTATATTCTGTAAAAGTACACTCAATAATAAATCGCTTTAGCACATTAGAACTCAATGTTACGTGTTTACTTTCCTATATTGTGTTTTTTAACAATATAAGGTTAAATATTTTTTTTAATTCTCTGCTATTTTATAACATTTTTAGGAATATTTTATTACATTTACAGATTTTTCCTAATTTAAAAAACTGTTATTTACACGAAAATGCTTATTTTCTATAGAAATATCACAGAAGTCAATATTTTCACATACACGCACACTAGTTTTTTTTAAATAAAATTTAAAAGTGTTTTATTTACTGTATGTATGACATATTAATGCATTTTTTACACGTTTTTAATTTTTTTTATTTTGTAAATGTTAACTAAAATTAATACAGTAATACAATATTACACTTGTAATTTTACACTCTACAATGTAACTGTTATGCAATAACATATATTATATTACATTTATATTGTTGTGTGTGAAATTAATGTTCTACTTTTTTAATTGATGTTTAGTACTACAATTGTAAAAATTAGATTGTTTTTTTTTTAGTTTTCCAAAGATTAGACTTTTTTACTTATAGGATTTCTAGAATGACCTGTTCAAATGCACTCTGTGTGCGTATGTGTGTACTTTTTCGTTTTATTACATTGAAAGCTCGAAACAGGCAATAATTATTTTTCACGTTAGTGTTGCGACGTTATAATTTAATCTATTTTACATTTTAGAAGACTTCTTTTAATTATATTTCGGCTTCATATCCGTTTTCGCTGATTTGCAGACGCTGCTTCGTCAAGACGATACAAATGGCGGTGTCTCAGAGGCTTTTGCCGCTGAGATGCGTTATATGCAGAGCGAAAATACTACGATTGAAGCAGACTTACATTCCTCCGCGTGATGTAAGTGACAATAGTGCCCGTTTCATATCAGATTTTTCGTATTTGGATGCACACACTAATTACTTGTCCCTCATTTACATACTAGTTTATATACTCCCTCGTTTACGTACTTTATCATTTAAAAAATTTCTTGAATTTATTTTTACACGCTATTTTTAATAATTTAATTGTACACTGTTTCCTTACAACTTCGTTTCATTCGTTTACACACAAATCAATAAATTTCACATTCACTGCATGATCGCGACGAAATCACTGCTAATTGGAGCGGAGTTCTCAAAGCCGCAAATGTGGTAAATTTGTGTAACAGAATTTATATAATAGATTAAAAAACAAATCGATAAATTGAAACTGCTGAAAATATTGTACCGCATTTCTTTCCAGATATCATTCATGACGCGCGTACCATTTTTTTTACGTACGATTAACTGTCAAAGGTGTTTCGGCATGTTGCTAATTATTCTTTAAATATAAAATAATTTATATTTACAAAAATGTAATTTTTATAAATAAATTTTCATTCCAGTATATCATATTCAGAGAGCACCATGTCTAAAACATGTCTAGAACACGCAACATAAACTGAAAGTAACGTAACATCAATGTTATAATTTCGTGTGTGCATATATATATATATATGTATACTTTACAATATAAATGTAATATAATACATAGTGTTACATAACAGTTATATTGTGGAGTACGAAAATATAACATTGACATTATGTTACTTTCAATTTGAGTCGACTGAAAAGACGTCATTAAGACATTTTTTAGCATCATGTCTTTACAACGTTTTATATTTTAATATTGAACATGCGAGCTGTCTAGGGAATTGTCTAATTTAGACTAATTCAATTCCTAATTCTGGCAAGAAATCTGGGTAAATCTTTAGACTAGAGGACCCCTCCCCCAATGACCTTGATCTTGACATATGTTGTCATGACCCTGAGTGACCTCCAACAAGTTTTAGTTGTCGCTCATTCTTTATTAAAAAGTTATTAACAAAAAAAGTTTGAAAAAATGTCTTATTTCGCTATATATAACATCAGAAACTATTCTAAACTATATCCACATACTGCACTTCATCTCTCCCATTGCCTAATGGCGCACGACTTTAAACGCAAACACAAGTTCACTGCTTTAGCAGAAAATTTGGGTAAATATGTAGTTTAGGGGAAGGTTAGGGTTATAAGTTATTATACACCCATAGATATATAATAACCTAACCCTAACCAAACCATATATCGTAAATCATATATGCAAAGTAAAGCAGGAAAAAATTTTTTGTTCTAAGAACAAAAATTATATAAGAAAATATGAAAGTTGTGCGCCCCCAAGTAGGGGGAGGAGGAGGTAGGGTGGGAGTCGCTTTGCGTAGAAAGTTATCAAATATACTTTAAAGCAGAAAATTTCTGTTTTATATGGTGGAAAAGGGATATCGTATACGTTTTTTCTTAAACTTTTTTTGTTAATACCTTTTAATGAAGAACGAGCTAAATGGCTAAAACTTGATGGGGATTATTCAGAGTCACGACCTTGACAACATATGTAAAGATTAAGGTCATGGAGTGGAGGGGGGGGGGGATAATCCCCCCTAATCTAAAGATTTTATCGAAATCTGTTTTATATAGATCCACTATTATAATCATTCTAGATATATTTCGCTTGGAGAAAAACAAATCGATTATGCATTATAAAATTATTTTTGTTGAAAAGAGCGCTTTCTCGAAGTTTATTTTCTCAATTCTCGATAATAACTTGAATAGGTACAAGTTTACTCCTTGGCCATGTTATCGCGAGCTAGCTCCTTCCTACCTTACTTTTACTCTATATAATTTGTATTCTTTTCTGTTGAATTACAATACCTTTGGCTACAAGTTTATTTCTGCTATCGTTTTAATTTTTTCTGTTATTGTTTTCAACTAATCAATCAAAGAAAACTCATATCATTATTAATTTCATTAAATTTAGAAAAAAAAAACTCATGCAAAGTATTTAGTAGAATTGTGCCCCTCGTATCTCTGTAATTTCTTGACTTCCGATATTTACAATAGTTTTAACTTATAGTATTTGCCGGGTAAATCTTGGATATTCCCTCAAAGCTCGTCAGAGTATAACATGGGCACAGGAGCCGGTATGTCTAGATCTGCTAGCAGGTGGGGAACCGCAACTACTAGAAGTGTACCAGCCTCTGCCTCTTTATACTCGATGGCCAGCGGTTCGTCATCAGTTTCTGGTTTGTAATAATCTTCTAATAAATTACTAATAATATAACAAATTACTATGAAGGTTTAAATATACAAAAGATATACTACAAAGAAATATACTACTTTCAAATTTCAATTCACTCACGTAGGAGTGTCTTCCGTTTCTTCGGCAACTTCCTCGACCGCGCGTAGCATCTCTCTCAGCAAACCGACGAGGGCGACGAGGATACGACAACCCACAGGCGCCACTCTCAGACGTTCCCAGACGCAATCGATGAAAATGCGAATTCAAGTTAGTAATTATGATAAGCTATTATATAATAATAAGCTAAAAAAAAATATGAAATGTATTACGTCAAATATTATTTTTTTTATATAAAGTAACATTATGATAGTCTGATTTCGAGAATGGTATATTTTTCAAAATGAGTTTTCTAGAGTACATGGAAAGAAGAATTTTGCTGACGTATTTAGAAATTTTGCTAGATACAGATCTAAAAATAATTTGAATAAACAATTATGTAAAAATTCAAACAGGATGAGCAATGCTGCAAAAAATGTTGACATTCTAATGTTTGGACATTCTAATTTTAAAATAAAATTATTTTCGTTTTGTATACATATAAGGTATACTTCGCTAAATGTTTAGACTATACCTCAGCAAAATCGATTTTTTTTCTTTATATATATATATAAATCGGCGGTATAAATAATTTATGAAAATTTGTAGTCGTACCAAGATCCTATTCAACAAATCCCCGAAGAGGAGGAAAATTTGCGGGAAAATCGGGAACGCCGATTGCCCCCCATCCGTGAATTCCAGAGGGATTATCGTGCTGGTAAAGCCTCTACTAGAATCAGGTATCTTTGCAATCGTCAATTTCAGCAATCGACCGAGAGATTCGCCAAGCGACAGATTCGTGACGCAATTGACGCGTTTACAGATGTGCTCACAAAATTGTGACACAGATGGATATACCGCCGAGCTCAAGAAGCATATCCGCTATTACATCGTCGGCATCGTCAGCATCGTGCAACCGCGCCATGTCTAAACGACCAACGACAATGCCGAAGGTGTCGGTGGTCCAAGAGGTGCAGAAGTCAAAGAAAGAAAAGGAACAGGAGAAGGAACGCGAAAAAGCGGAGAAGGCCCGTCAGAAGGAAGAAGAGAAGGCCGAGAAAACTAGACAGAAGGAAGCCAAGAAGCTGGCGAAGGAAGAGAAGAAGAGAGCGAAGAAAGAAACAAAAGCACGGCGGAAGGAAGCCGAGGAAGTTCCTCTTTTGACGGACTAAAAATAAGGTTTGACTGATAGAATAAAAGTCTCGTGACATCGAACATCATGATACAGCTGTTCTAAAGAGTTTTCAAAGACTGACGGTTTTTTCGATATCTTACATATACATAGAGAAATGGTTCTGCTGATTGTATGTTCATTATAAGCATTAAATTTATTCAATATAAGTAATAGAAAAGGCATATAAGAGTTAATTATAAAAATAAAAAAAAAGAGATATAAATCGAGATAATATTATATATCTACTGTAATTAAATTTGAACAATATAATTCTGAATATTACATTACAGCTGAAACATGTAATATTGTTATTTGACATCGAGAGACCTTGGATTAATTAATTTAATTTAATTTAATTTAATTTAATTGCTGAGAACACTTTTTAGGATACCTGTATTATGATATTCTATGTCTGGAGATTTTTAATTTAATTTATTCAAAATATATTCTGATTCCTATAGTAAGTTTAATACTTTAATCAAGATTAAATTAAAACAAATTCGATTTGCTTATAATACATGTATAAGGTCACTTCCTCGATAAAATTTTATAATGATTTTAAGGAATACATAAAGAAATTCTTGTTTTGTGTACATATATATGAGTTTTTCTATATAGTAAGATTAATAGACATATTTTGAGACTGTTGTTGAGAAAATGTTCTTTTATGTTAAAAATAACTCAAAAGAAAAAAGTAAACTGAGTAATCTCTTTTCTTATTGTTAGCAGAGACTGATATTTAGAATGATATTTTTCTGTATGTATATTATCTTCTTCTCTTCTTTCACCAGTTTCTTTGCTTCCTTTTGCCTAGTCTTTTCTGCCTTCTCCGCTTTTTCTCGCTCCTTCTCTTTTTTTTTTTACTTTTTCGATACTGCGTGTATAGCATTCAATTTGAGTATCCTACATAATTATTTTAATAGTTTAAACGAAATTATTTTCAGATTTGTATCTAACTAAATTTTTAAACACCTTTTCAAAATCATTCTTTCCGTTTAGAGGATCGATACGTACAGGATGAGTTACTGACATTTGTATGATTGCGAAGACAAATAGAACACCGAAAAGGATATCGTTCTGTTATCTTTTGAAAATTTCAGCAGCCAGTATCGACTGGTAAATGAATACGGCCTAGCGCGAAAACAATTCTCCAAGAAGTGAATAATAATTAACGTGATTATATATATTCTGTTTGTTAATAAGTTTAATACGTGTATGGTTCGTTTATGCTTAAAAAAATTAATAGCTAATGCTAAATCGTCTTGAACGGTCCGTAACTCGTCCTGATTTCCTCATCTTACAGATAGGTTCGCGAGAAAGGCGGCGATAGGAAGTAATAATATATATGAAAAAAAGAAACTCTAGAAGCGGCCAAATTTAGTAACCCGTCATATCGAGTTATCGCGGACTAATTTTATTATTGATAAGAAAACAGAGTATAGTGTTACAATCTAGCATTCAAGCGAATTATTTCAACGTTATATACTTACTACTTATTTTTATTTATTTCAAAATTATTATTTGCACCTTATTTGAGTCATCCTGCCAAAATCTGCCATAATAGTTTTATTTAGTCCGAAGTGATAACCCCTTAGATTAAATAAAGATGCGCAAATGTGTTCTCTTTTAATTATATAAATAATGAATGTAAAGGTTAGGTATACTCAATCCATAGTCGACTCACTCGATAACTATTTTCACAGCAGCGTTTAATCGCCGATCAGTAAATTGGAATAATCGATAATCCTATTCCTTTAGTCAATTTAACCTAGTCATCACTAAATAAAGAAAAAACACTCGTCTGTTGATTCTTTTACCCTCATCGCAATCCCTCATCGTTTTATCTCAGCAGAAAAGGATCATTCGGGGTAAAATGCTTACAAAATGCAGAATTTTTCTATTTTATATATGTACTTTAGTATATTTAATTTATATACTTTAATATATTAAATACCCCTTCCATCTATCATATTTTGTTGATATATGTATCATATGCGCACCTCACAGCATTTCAAAAGCGGACGTGAACGACTTTCGTTCAAAGAAGTACGATGAGGGTAGCCTAATGAGATCGATTTGTTAAAATGTGCGGGAGTATACCTAACATAACGAAATATATAGAGTCTTATATAACACGTACATAATATATATATTTATATATTGTGTACTATATAAGGCTTTATATCTTATCATTTATAAATATATATATTATATATTATAAATATTGGCAGTGAGAAGACATTTTTAAAAGAAAGTGTGTGTCTCGTTACTGTTCGTAGAGACTCCCCGTATTATAGATTACACACCTTCGATTTGACTCTTTCTTTCTCTGTTCGACAATTTATAACTATTAACTTATATGAACGAAGCTATCAGTTAATGAAATCACTATACTGTATGCCGTAAGTAGACTCCTCGTATAGTTTTAATTACAAAGTCACATGAGAATTACGCGACGATAGCTTTAACGACAAAAACCCCTGTGTCGTTGACACACACACACACACACACACACACACACACACACACACACACACACACACACACACA